ACTTAGAAAACTCATAAAGTCATGGTTTTGATATAATCTTAATCAAAGCTGTTTCCCATTTTAAATACTTCACCTTAATGTTCAACATTAACGAAATGTTTAACACAACATATCGCATAATTCTTCTGATCCGATACTAATGTATGATTGACCGGATATAAGATTATAATGAAAACAATAATTACAATTATATTATTATAAACTATTTTTGTATAAGTACTTTTTATTTCATAGGTTTGAAGGATACGCATGAGTCGTTACAAAGACCTGTTTTAAAAGGCCATCACATCAATACTGATATATTTTTATTCGGATTAATTAATTTTAAGAGACTAGTATATTTAATGAAAGTACGATGAAAATGCTATCAAATTCGAACGCCCAAGACAGTACTGGACAGAGACACAGGAAGTGTTTGATGGATTCTACATCCTTCTCATCTTGGCAACTCCTGCACAATTCACTTGTAGATACTCACCATCTTTGCAGCATAGGCGTAATGGCAGAGCTCCCCGTTAGTACTCCAGTAAGTAGCTGAAGCCGAAAAGTCTTTTCGTTTTATTTTTGTTTAATCTAAGCTATAATGTTCTAGTGACCGCACAGTCTTTGCGATTAGCTCATAGTTTATTAGTCACCGCATCATTGGTGTTTGTATTGAGAGGTCGGTCTCTCTTATATGCAATTCAAAAACTCTTCCCTTCAATATTACTATGTTCAGGAATCAGTGAAGCGTGACATCTTAATATAATGTTGGATCTAACCGATTTTAATTCAATAGCTTTCAGTGCTGTCTGACTATCTACAGAAACAGTGATATTCGAAGCATGAATTGTAAATAGTTGCATAAAATTGACATATATTTTTTCTCGACCTGAAAGACGCTGCAAATATCAGGGAGACGGTAGGACTGCCTTATATGCATATCTTTCGAGAAGATACCCGCTTACGTACCACACCTACACTGATAGCTCGAAGATGGAGAGTCTTTGAGCTATCAGTGTAGGTGGTTACTCCAAAGTTACCTGTCACAGATCCTAGCTCCCAGCTATCTCTGGTTGGACAGAGAGTAGGAATTCTGGTGTTAAAGTCTAGTATTGGTGTCATGTAGTCTGTATAAACAGTATATTGTAAATATAAAAGATTTAAAAAAAAAGAAGACACCAATGCAAAATCATATTAATTATAAGACATCGAAAAGTATATATACCAAACACTATACTAATTCAATTTTTTTTTTGTTATAAGAAGGAGAAGTTTTTAGTATTACACCGAAATTGTCATGTCATTCATGTTAAAAAATTGAAAAAAAGTCTAGTGGTGATAAATCACATTATCATCTCGCACAAAAATTTCAAAATAGTATATGTTCTATTGATTGTTACTTACGACTATATCCTGTTGCAACTATATATCTTCCATATCCATAACATAGCTTAACATAATATATCATCATGTGACTGTAGCGATCAAAATAACATTTGGTCTCAGCTGTTCAAAATTTTTTTAAGGTATGACGTTATCACATCTCTAAGTCACGATACAGTGACTTTTCGGGGAAGCAATGGTCTTTCACAGTTATATATAGATATAGAAAATATATATAGAAAATGGTCGCATTTTGTAGAGCGAAATAGTTCTGATGACTATAGAAAATTCGATACAAAAAAATTCTAAATACGAAAAATAGTAAGTTTTCACATTTTTTACTATAATTTTTTTTTAACTAAACTAAACTTATTTATTAGAAGAACACAAAACTTTAGTTTCTAATACTAATACAGTGCTGCCAATAAGGACCATGAAATAGATAAACCTTTGTTAGCTACATATGGTACATATATCTATTGCTAACTATAGATACATTGTCAGACTGTGATAGGACAAAAGCATTACGCTTCTTCCTGATTACAAGTATTAATTAGCTGATACGATTTCTTGATTTATAGAATATACGAATAACGTAGTAACCATTTGTTTTTATTTAAATTTGTGTTGTGATGATATGATATTCTATAGTTAAAAATAAAATTTTTTTGTAAACATATTGTTTCATAAATATTTCGAAAGAAAATTTTTAATTTTACTACTCATGTGGTATACGTCATTTTGTATTTAAAATTTTTTTATATTTTTTCTTAGGCATTTTGTTCTATACAATTTTGTAAAATCTTCCGTTCCGTCACTAAATTCACGCTGGAAACCAATTAGAGAGATTCATTATGAATCGCAATCGAAATTTCAATATTTATACAAATAACAGCGGTAGTAACATAACTGCCAACATGGGTGAAACTGGTTCCAGTACTAATTTATTGGCTGGCGGAGATGATAATGTGCAAAATCCAAAATCGAAGTCTAACATTGCTGCACCCATTTCTGATTTGGATGAGATGCCGGTTAGACGTTATACTCGCACGGAACTACTACTACGACGTTATGACCTCTTATCCGTTGAGCACATATGGCAGCATGAGTACGAGAACGATCCATACTATATTGCTGTTGTGAACCGCCTGCATGAACTGGACTTGTGGACAGAAATATCACCTTCGGCTTATGAACCACTCTATAATATGGCTACTTTGGAGGATTGCAGTGATGCTGAATTGGCAAACATAGTACAACAGGTAAATGAGATAAATGCTTCGCCATCAGCACAAGGCTATCGCAATTCCTTTAATCGACGTCGTGGCCGACCATTTAGAAACTATGGCATTACTAATAACAACTTTCAGCCTATCTATCAAAATCCAAATGTTCCCTTCAACTACTCAAATGTCTATTACCCGGCTATTGCACATGTCAATGGTGGATCCATGCCAAATGGAACTACTATACTACCGCAACAGCAGTACCCCCCATCCATATTTATGCCACCACAGTTTTTTAATTACTCAGCAGATGATCAAGCCAATAATGATGTGATGTCCTACTGTTGGTATCCCACCAACAAGCACAACTTTAACGAGAAGCAGTAAATCGTTGTATGGTCGCATGAACACAAGATGTACCACACCAGAATATAGTGTGTAGTACTATTTTGTAGGATCTAACTGTTGTGCTTGTGAAAAGACTTGTGTTCGTGCTCTTTTTGTATTTAAGGTGAGTCACAAAAACTATCTATTGAATAGTTCTATTGGAGATCTGTTGGAGATCTTTTTTATTCTTTTTTTTCTCGTTTCAGTTAATTTTAAAAATTCCAAAAAAAAGGTAAAAAATGATGTTGATGATATTTCTTTTTTCTCTATTGGTTTCCAACTACAAAATTCGTTTGATTGTGTGCTTTTTGAAACCCAAAATTCTGTTTAAATTTGTACTACTGTACGAACTTTTTGTGCACTCACTGTATTTCATCTTTTCTTGTTTGTCTTCTTTTGGCAAATTTGTTGGCGCCAAATTATACAATGTATTATATTTTATAAGTCCACTTCAACAAAATAAAAATAAAACCTTATATATGTTTGTTTATGTAAAAGCAAATTAATGGCCGTTTGCATTCAAATTGTTACAAAGAAAATAATAAAATGGTAATATAATCAGTGACAAAGAAGATGAAAATTAGCGAGTTAAATCTAAACTTATAAGTTTAATAATGATTTAATGGAATTGTTTTGACAGCGATAACCTATACTTAAGGCGGTCCACACATATGTGTAACGAAATTGAGTTATTAGGTGTTGTAAGATTCGAGCACACTTATCTGTCATGCGTTTCGCTATGGGAAGTCAAGATATATACAGCGACCTTGAAGTGCGTACTGATCAATCTTTCGAAAAATAGGAGTAAGATTTATGAGGAGTTGGGTGATACATTGGGCATGCATCTGAACTGGCATATGACAAATTGCAGTTACTCTAATGATTTATGGTATACATAGTTACATAGTACATACAGTGATGGCCTTGAGGTGTACACAGATACTTAATCGATGGGCGAATATAAAATTATCGGGATGAGTTAAGTGATGCATCGAAACAAGTGTTTAAAGTGACACTTAGCAAATTGAAATCACTAATCTATGTTTCTAAAATACCTTTAGTTATCGATTATTTACATATTATTTAATTTTTTTTGTAATATTTACATAGTTGCATACAAAATAAAATAAAATCTTGAATTCATTTTTGCAGTATTACAAAACTTTTGTAATCATGTAATGCCGAAGTGAGACGTGATATTTATTAAAGTAGATTACACAATGCGACAATCTTAATCTCAAGAGGTGTATACGAGTGAAATTTATTGTTTTAGTAAAGACACAAATTACTGTTCGGAACATGGATACATACATACTCATATTATATTTTCACGTGGACATATGAAAATTTTTAAGTTTTTCATTTCATCAAGCCGATATTAGATATTGCACAAATTTATTATAGGTCATATTATTTAATTTTGACCCTTTCTAAAAACCGATGTGCCTGAAGCAATGTGATTTTACTGCAGTCTTCTTCACTCTTACTCAATATATTGTATATTCTAGTTAGATAGGACCCGCACTAGCAAAACTATAATGGAAAATAAAATAACCAATAGTTCTTCTTCACTCTGAAAATATTGTAGGTATATCCTACTTAAAGAGAACTTGCATATAAAAAACAGTAAGAAAAAATATAGTAGGATTTACTAATTATAAACTTGTGTCTAACTATGTGGAAACCAAATTCTGTTTTATATATGGGTAAAGAAAAAACGCCTATAACTCACTCGCAAATAATACTCCGTGTCCCACTGCTCTCCAATGTAGTATTTACATTGTTGTTCTTCTGAAAACTCTGCTTTTCGAGGAAGTGTGGAAGTATATTCATGTGGAATAATATATTTATATTATTATTAGTTTAGAACCAACAATTTATCGGCCTTCATTGGATAACTATTAAATAATAAAAATATTAGACCGCTAGTATCTGTCACAACAAAAAGCTCAAGATTTTCTAAATAAATATTTAAAATACCTTTAAAGTCCACCACTGAATTTATTACATTAATTAGCTATGTAGAGCTATCAGCGGAGAACTATTCAGAAACATGAAAACGAGACATTTTGTGTTGACGACGTAAGAGGTTAGGTTATGCCGGTAAATTAAGGGATCCATTTAAGCCTATTGACCCATTGTGTTACCATATAAAAAAACTTAAAGGTTTAAAAAGCCTCTTGTACCTTTGGTAATGCTTTAAATGCTTTTTAGTGATAGATCCTGGAGTTGGATAAGTTGCTCAAAAAAAAAAACCGCTAAAATATTAAAACGGTACAATAACAAAGCAGATGTAAGACACTTTCATCGTCTTCTTCACAACTGTGATAGGAACAATTATTAGGATTAGCATTGTTCCCTAATCGACTGAGATATGTGATGAAGCCTACCACAAGGCTGATATCTTTACGGTACATCTAAATGACAAAGTAAAAAGAGCCTACAATATTTTTTGTTTAATATTTAATACAACCTTTTAAATGAATACCTAAATCCTAACCTAGATTTAGGCTGAACAAGTTATAGAAGCTTCAAAGCTTCTAGAAGCATTCTAATAGTTTGAATTGTCTATTCTATGTTAATAATAATATCATTCAGTACACGAATGTTGATATAAAAGTTTTAGACAAACTATAAATCTCTTATGGAACTATTAATGGTGTAGAATCAAGGTGACATTTCTAGACACATTTTGGATCATTGAATCATTTTTTGTCATGCGGTCACCATTTTAAATTGATTATTTTTAAATTAAAAATTGTATAAACATTGAAATAGGGAGAGAAGATGACAGCTTTTATTAGGGGACTTACGGGATAAGAAATTTCGTAGGATTTAGATTATAAACATAAAATATTATAATGAACATCTGTATTTCCTGCAATTCTTTTGCAGATGCAGATTTGCTTTAAATGGAAAATATTTTGAGTACTTTGTGCGAAAATTAAATGATATATAATATAAAATGTATGTACGAGTAATATAAAATAATTGAAGACTAGCAATAATAAAAGGGATATTGGTCTATGAGAGCGCCCATTTGACTGTGAGAAATTAGTTTAATTACCAAATACAGATATAATTTAAGGGAATTTTTACGTCTCTAAATATAAATAAATCAATTACTAACTGCTGCTCTTAACTTTTATTACATTATTTACATTTTTATTGAGTAAACTTTGATAAAAAAAATTTGCTTAAATTGATTTGTCAAAGATAATGGATCAACCTATTGTATTGTATACTAAATCCGAAATTGACGATTTTATGATCTCATATAAAATACATTTTTAGATCCTTAACTTTGTAACCAAATGCACTAAATACATAACTAAAGTGTTTGGGCTCTTTCAGTTGTAAATTTCAGTCATTCAATATTTACAATGGCAGAAAGCTGTGATAATGTCTTATGCGAACTGATTAATCAAAAATGTTTACAACCCAATTAAGAGTTGTCATTTTCTATTTAAATGCAAATTTCTTTTGTTGTCTGCATTTCTGCTCGATGTCTATTGCAAAAAGAAATGCATAATAATCAGCCAAAATGAAACTCGCAATGAATTTGGATGAGCGCGATGATTCGAAATAGTTTACGAAAAAATGTCATAAACATTTACTGGTAAAAGTTACAAAATAGTATCGCATCGTCTTAATTCTCCCTATATTTAGTACCATTTAATTGGCTCTTAACCATGATTAACAACCTATTACTATTTATGTGGCACTTAATCGACCATCAAACCACGTTAGCACCGCATTTTCAGTCAGTAAAAGCCACCAATTTTATTGCACAAATTGAAGGGAGAAAGATTTTACAGAAATTATACAAAATTTAGACAAAAAAAAGGCGGAATTAAATTAGCATCAAAATTATAACGAAAAAAGTTAATTTTTGTAATTTTTTATATCCGCGAGTGGTGATGATATATGCGAGCAAATGAAGCTATTGCCAAATTCGTGCCCATGTCAACGTCACTACCTTCGCATGTTATGGGTTAAAATCTAAGCTCCAAATTATAATATTTGCACATTATTTCACTCAGGCTTTTTTTAAGGTGTCCGATACAAGATACCAGCTCGCTAGGTTGCTTCTGTTTTAGTGATTTTTATCGATTGGGCCGTCTGTCAGTTTGTATTTATTGAATGAAATTTATGCAAAGCTGTTGATTTTGTTGTTTATTTTAGCGATAGTATAAAGGTTGTACTATTGTCTCATGTGATTAACAGTTACATTTTAAATTTCATTTAGTAAAGACTTAAGGAGATCATCTCCCTCTGATCTATTAGTATTCCTTCATTCGTTACAAGATGCGCATGATTTTGGTAATTAAAAATATAACTTTTTGATCGTGTTATAGGATGCAAATAGTATTAAAAAAAATATTTGTTTTGAGTTAAAAACCAATAAATATAAAATCGATTTGTACTTCCAATAGGCTTTTTTGTTTTTTGGCGCTGCCTTCGCTGCACCACAAGGTTACAACTACCAGTTAAACATAAATCCAGCAGCAAACAATGACTATAACCTGGAACCACTGAAATCATTGGAACAATTCGCGCAACAGCAACTGCAGCAGCAGCAACAACAACAACAACAGTTACTACAAACACAAACAGTTGCTATTGTTAATGAAGCACCACAACAAGTTGGATTAACACAAGTTCCAAATGCTATCAACTACCAAGTACTTGAACAACCATTGCCACAACAAACGGAACTCGATACCGTATTGACGAATCAAGGATATGAAACTTCCATTCCAGCCGCAGTACCACAATTACAAGTCCAGGAATTGCCATCAGCTCTACAATATAAACCAACAGAAGCGCAAGTGGCACAACCAAGTCCACAAGTGATTATAATACCTAAGGTACAAAACAAACCACATGCACCTGTATCAGTTCCAGCACCAATACCAGCTCCAGTACCAACACTTGTATCCGCACCAGCACCAGCTTTACCCAGACCTAGCCACACATATCAGCAACAGCCGCAACAGCAAGGTGTACAATATAACAAGGAATTCTTTTATCTTTCCGCACCACAAGAAGATTTTGATGATACACAAAATTTCGATCGTCAGTTTGAGCAATTCAAAAAGAATTTACGTGTGATCTTCATCAAAGCACCAGAACAAAATGGTATCACTAAGGCTGCACTACAACTGGCGCAACAATCCGTTGATGCTCAAACTGTGATTTATGTGCTCACTAAGAAACATGATGCCAACGATTTGGCCAATAAATTACAACAAATTCGTACTGGTGCACAAAATAAGCCCGAAGTCGTTTTTGTCAAATACCGTACGCCAGAGGAGGCTGCACATGCCCAACGCACTATACAAGCACAATATGAGCATTTGGATGGACCAAATCACTTCAACTATGAGGCGCCTTCTGCCAGTGTTTTGCCCTTCACTGGTTCAACTGATGTCGATCCACGTAAAAATAAAAGTACCCAAACAAAAGCTGAGGAAGTGAGTGCAACATCGAATACACAATATCTGCCGCCAAATAAAACTAAATAAATAGTATAGTCTACTTTTAGTTATAGTTAAATTATATATTTTCAAAGCATACATCACAGCAAACTCTCCCAGAGAAAATTTTATTCATATAGTTTGTTTTTAAGTGTTGCATATTTTTCAGCGTTATTTAATTATTTGCATTTTATATGATCAATAAACATAAACATATTCATTTTATATATAAATTTTATTTAAATTTTTTTTTTTAATTTTAATACGAAATTCATTTTAGTACTTTGAACTAAAAGTACTAAGTATGTACCTAATATTATGCTGGAGATGAAATCATAAAAAAACATCACAAATCTCAACCCTGTAAAGCAGCTCTTTAAGTTGTTTAATGCCGCATGTTGGTTAGTAGTTTTTCCCGACACTGATGCATAAGTGAAAGAAGTAGCTAACTAGACACCTCATATCTAAGTAGAAGTAGTTGGACTTGGAGAAACACTTCGAGTTCATAAGAAGTGTAAAAATAATAAGAACTCTACATAATAACAACTATAAATGTAATGAGTTCGTTCCAAATTACATGTATTCATGACTGATTTAATTATGAATAGCATTCACTTTATTTTATGTTGTTAATATATAAATTCAAGATACAAAAAATGATCGTGCAGCGTCTACCATATAAGTTCATAAAAGCATCAGAGATGCTAAACTCATTAAGTAAAGTTCCAGCTCTATATGTGGAGAGTTCATTGCACGAAGAGTTCATGAATCTACAATACTATACTAAACTATTGAACTTCAAAAACACACTAATAGAGTTCATCATTAATAATGTTTATTAATGTAAAACTAAGGACATAAAACTTCGTTAGAATAGCTTCTATATGCATATAGACAACTTATTAAAAACTCGTGTTTCTGTATAAGATTATTGAGGTTTATAAAGTCAGAAAATGGGGGCAGCCAATGGAACAAGTGTAGTACAGAAGAAACTTTAAATTGCCGACAAAGCCATAGAACAACCACAATTCATATTTGAACTCTGTTAACCATACGTTATTGCAGTTTTACATTTATCGCCGAATATTCATAATGAACGAGAAGTATACGTCTGTTGACTACCACAATACATTAAAAAGCAGATCATGTTCAATTTAGTTTGCTATATTCTCCATACGACTAAATCAGTAACATTTTGATTAGGTCAATGATTTTGAATAATGTATGAAAATTTTTGCTTAATATGATAAATTCAACATAAAAAAAGTAAATGACTTTAAAACATAATGAGTTAGAGCCAAGGAGCATAGAAAAAAATACACAGTCCATAGCTTTTTTAACTTGATAAAATGATTTGTTAAAATGATTTGATGAAATGATTTGATGAAATGATTTGATGAAATGATTGATAATCACAATTGAAACTACACATTACGCTGCTCTTCATATATGTATCAATATAATGCAACTGCAACCTATTGGAATATTAGATGCTATCGCTGATTCCAATTAAAACAACACGTTTGGCCATAGTTTTATCTTTGGAAGAAAACGGAACCCATCTAATACTCCTAATGTGCTTTGGAGCACAGCATCCGGTTGAAAGTAATGAATACAGTCATTCTACCCATTTAATTTTTGTGTGGTTTTAACCATAGTAAACACGATATTTTTATTAATATTTCTATTAAAGGCGCCAATCTCATTTGATCTGGACAGCAGAATCTATGGACCCTGACTGCGTGGTACTCGATTTACCTCCTTCGGTCGAGTACCGCAAGTGTCGTATTATAAATATTGGTCGATGCCTACCACTATTTCCATGAATAGTATGCCTCTAACGTAAGAAATATTCCAATCACTTTCCATCGAAGGTCATAAAATTTTACAGGCGTAACCTAATTCTTATACATGATATTAGAATTACGCTGACGTAGTTCTTCTCCAGAAGATAAAGTTTTCTCACCTTTGGATTCAATCACGATAATGAACCTTATTAATTATTCTTTGAACGCTAGAGATTATATTACATTTACTGACTAATGTTTTAGTCTTTTAAATTCTAACAAAGGTGTCTTATTGATACCATTCAAATTCAATCGAAGGATGGACATAATTTCGAAAATTTTAAATCAAATCAAATTGATGACGTTAATGTTGGAAAAAAAACATTACATAAAGAAATCGTTGACGCATAAATATGTACATAAATATTTATGTATACATACATGTCATATATACATATGTAAATATATTTTATGATATATGTATGAAAATGTAAATGAAAAAGATATCTTCATATATATCTACTTAAAAAATTGATCAAACCACTAATCGCTTTTTATGAATTATATTTACATAAATTTTTTCTACATTTTAAAACTATTCAACAAAAGATGAAACAATAAAAAGAGGGAAAGATAAAGAAAGACTAAGAAGAGATAACAAAAATAAAAAGAAAAGAAAAATAAAAATAAAAAGTAATGACTTAAACTAAACAAAAATTAACGACAATTGATTAACAATCAGTCAGTTTGCTTAGAACCTTCTGTTTGGTGGCAAATACGCGCTTGGTCCGGGTGCTGGTGCTGGAGCTGGTGCTAAGTAGCCTGAGGATGGAGCTGGAGCTGCCTTTGAAGCGAAGTCCAAAACTGGAGCAGAACCAGCATTATGATTGCTTGATGGGCCAGGCAATGAATCGTATTGTGACTGAATGGTACGTTGAGCATTGTCAGCATCAGCTGGAGTCCTATACTTAACGAAGTGCACTTCTGGTTTGTTGGCATTGCTACTTTTAAGATTTTGTAATTGATTGGCCAAATTGGAGATATCAGCTTGTTTGTTGAGCACATAAATTGCGGTACGATCATCAGAAGCAGATTTGGCCAATTGCAAAGCAGCATTCTCAAGACCAGAGTTTTCTGGTCCCTTAATGAAAACTACACGCAAGTTACGTTTTAATGAGTTTGCAATCTGTTCGTTGGCACCACCATCTTCAAATTCTTGTTCTGGAGCGGAATAGGAATAAAATTCCTTGCTGAATTCATTTGAAGGTTGAATGGGTTGAGATAGTTGTGCGGCGCCACTGATACCACCAATACTTTGTGCTTCATCCTGGGCTACTGGGCTGTAATCGTATTGAGCTGCAGCAACAGCAATCAAACAAAATACCTGAAATTAGATAATTTTTTTAGTGAACAAGTAAGATAGTTATAGTTTTGTATACTAACCACCAAAGCGCGCATTTTACACTTAATATTTTTTCACTTCAAAAGGTTAACTGCTCTGACTTCTCAACTAACTGTGTGAGTGTCGTATCGTTTGTGTCTCAAAACCTAAACCTTTCACACTATTTATACCACAAACTAAAACAAAAAAAAAAAAAAATAATCTGTAACAGATAAAGCCTATAATGCAATTCTACACCATTTGTTAAATACAAAAAAAAAAACAAAAAAAAACTAGTTTCAGTCAATTTAATTTCATTAACTGGAAATATTTTTCCTAACGAAATTGTTACAAAATTGCAATTTAAAATATTGTTGTAATTAAGCCTACAAATTTTGTGTCAATTTGTTGGTTTTTTCCTTTTCTCGTTTTTGTTGTAACCCCCACAAAATCCAATACCAAAGATGCCCTTTTTATGAATTTGCGGCTGAGCAAGCATAAATTTGCATAAAATATTGACTGCATTTTTACTACAAAATTAAAAATAAAACTCAATTTATATGCATAAGCTGCCTAAAGATGTCCAAAAATAACCAAAAATGCACATGAGATACCACAGACAAGGTCGTGTAGAGCGGGTGAAATTTAAGTGCATTTTATCAAAATATCTGCATTTTTAACTAACTGAACTGAATTTTTCGATTTATTTTATAAACCAATATTTATGAAAATATATGTAACTTATTTCCAAAATGTATATATGTAGATGTACTATAAAGAGATATATAATACATACACAAAAAAAAATTCTATGTAATTCAAGTAGAAATCGAAGCAATTTTTTTTTTGATTTCAATATTTAATTTATTTAAATTTTTAACCAATCAACATTTTGCTCTTCTTTGATTTGTTAAAGTTTTTAACATTATGTGCCGCCACTCATGCACCCTAAAACTATGCAATATTTTAATTGCAAATTCGCTTTTGCACAATTTGCAAGTGTGCAAAAATTGTTAAAAATAATAAAATAAATTATTAATAAATTTTTTCCGTTGTATGCAAATACATAGACAATCTCAGCTATGCACTACAAAATGGTTGTTCCGTGCTGATCCATCACAAATATTTTATTTTATTTGTTTTTCTTCTAGTTGATTCAGTAGGCATTTCCGCATTATTCGCACAGAAGACCGTGAATGAGTCGAACTCATATTTAATTCAGATCAAAATAGAATTCAATAAAATGATTTAGATAATATTTATTTATAGAGGTGCGTCATATAACACTGGAAATGTCGTAAAAATTTGATATGTTTTCAAAGATCTCTACTATGTTCATTGATTCTTATGTTAATTCAAAACAATACCCTAAGGCATACTAAAATAAATATTGTTAAAAAAACTGTACAAAAATAAATTAAAATAAAATCTTAAAGTAATGAATTTCAACACTACTTCCTTTATTTATATTTTTAGTTTTCTCACAATATTTTTTTTTTTGGATAATTTTGTGTTAATGAATTATTTTATTTAAGTTCTTAAAATATACTTTTAAGATTATTATACATTATTTATAAGTTTTTCTAATTACTTTTCGTTATTCATTTTATTATTTGTTTTACTTATTTTTTGTACTTCTTTTGTAATAATTATGCTTTTGTATAATTAATGTAAATTAACTGATTAATTATATTCAAAGTACAAACTTGATCAAGTATGATCAAGCATAATCAACATAATCAACAAAAAGATGTTTGATTCGGTATCCACTGATGGAAAACACAGTAGGATCGCACGCATCTGCAGTGGAAGGACCAGATGATTAACGATATGAAGGCACTTGATACTACCATCTGACAACAGCAACACATTGTTCAAGCTAACTGGCGGAGGATACTGAACGCAGCCAAAAACGATAGAGAACCAAGTGACAATACCTATATAATAATAAACATTAACCTCATATTAAAAATATTTATAATTTGTAAATCGAAAGTGGTGGTAACTAGAAGAAGTGTCCATAATATTAATAAAAACATTCTTTAATTATTAATATTTTATTTACACATAAATTTGTTAAATAAACAGGAATTGACTTAAACTTAAGTCAAAATATTGATATCCCTGGACATGTTGGAAAAAAATAAACGAAACGTCGGATGAAAAAATGAAATAAATTTAATTTTTATTTGCATCCCAATCACAAGACCAGAGTAGCCAAATAAAAATTATAATTTAGAAATTTTTGTTGTTGTTCTTTACTACTTTTCAAAATGACTTTACCAAAATTGTTTCAATTAACGTACGGCTTATTTAAATCTTTATGTCTGCTCTCTTTAACAACTATAACGCAGTCAATTATTTCCATTGAATTATTAGACTGAAAAGCTTCTTCACCTTCTTCACTTCAGCTAAACTTAAATGTAGTAAGCCAATTTTAATTTGAATTAATACAAAGAACTGGTGTTTAAACTAGAAACCCATTTATGCTTGATCCATATAATAGTTGTCTTTACATTACAATAGTTGTTATTATAGTAGCATAATATAATCATTTTAGGATCTCAAGAAGTGTGTCTTTAGGTGGGTCGTGCGCACTGCAGTTGATGAATTTGATTATAAAGAGGAATAATTTGACATATCACTAATGTTACTTCCCTTGTTAATTTTGAATTATGCTAAGCGAACAGTCCCGGTTTTTAAATATATTCTTTTGTCATTTGTCTGCTCATATCCATATGTTATTTTATTACAAGTATTTTATTTCTTAAGAAGGTCTTTATACTATGTAGTATACACAGGAATATTTAAGTCTTCTAAAACAACAATAGAAAACAAAAATTTTTGGAAACATTGATCTAAGTACGTTTATTTTTCAAACCTGTTATATACGAAAATTTTTAAAAAATCGGGAAAGCATACTACATAAAGGAATATTTATAATCAGTTTCTAGGAATATCTAATTAACATTGAAGAAAACTAATGTGTTTAGCGCATGGAAAGATTATATTCAATTACTCCCAATCTTTCTGCACTATAAAAATGCAACCTTTACCACTATCTTAAAAGAGATTTTGTAGTTGACATTAGGTAATATCGAAAACTTAGCTACAATATAAAACAGTTTAGTAAAAGACTTTTATATAAATTGATTTATGAGCATTTCGATTATCATTACTATTTAATTTAATTTTATATGAGTTCATAAAACTCTTTATAATACAACTTCTGCAAAATTTCTTCAAGCTTTTTAATTATTATTAAAGTCAAACATTATTACTTTCAATGCAAGTTCTTACGATTACTAATAGTTGTGGTCCAAATTGCTGAAGAGAAAAATACCCAATCTCACTATATAAATAAATAAGACTAATAAATGTGCACTTAATACAATAAAACTGAAATTTAGTATTATACGTTTAAAATACATAAAAAGTAATTAACAATATCTAATCTTCAGAATATGAGAAAATGTGACAAATTCACCACTTTAAGAAATGGACAAATATGGTCACATCATAAACCCAATATCAACCTACTGTACTCGAATTTATTCCAAATCACTGTGGTATAAGCTTCTTCTATTGCTAAACTCCTAATAGGGAAATACCTTAAAATTTTTTATTGAGCATAAATGTTTATTTTCACTGATAATTAAAATGTATAAAATCCCAACAAATCTTTATTCAAATTTATTCTTACATCAAAAAGTTATAAATTAACACCAATAATTTATTTCCTAATTAATCCAATTCCCAGATGATCTAAAAACATGTTAAATTATGCACTAATAGTATAGCATGTGAAGCAGTCGTTACATAAATTAACATTAACAATTTCTCCTAATAAAATAATCAAAATAAATTTTATTATACATTAAAACCACATTCAACTATATTAATAAAGCATCTGATTGGCTTATTTGCTATAAAATTATTGTAAAATTAAAGTTTAGTTTTAAAATTAAACCACACAAAATAATACTTTATGACCTTCTCTTCAGGCAATAAAGCCACCTTAATACCCGAAGAGGTAACGTTTTTGGTTGTAAAAATAAAGTCAACTTACAAATAAAAATGAAAATAAAAATTATAAGTTTTATGCTTTCTAGACACATAAATAAAAAATGTTTAATAAAAATATATAAAAATATATTTAAATATGCAAAAGCCTAAAAGTTAAATAACGAAAAACAAAATAATATGTATATTAATTCTTTTATAGATACAAATACAGATGAATTTAAACTTTAATTAAGATGTTATGTATAACAAAAGTGTTCAGTTAAAAAAAGTTCATGTATTTTATAAAAAATTTTTAAAAAGCATTTAAAAAGTATTTATTAAGTTATTAACAAATAACTTTCCTTAGGCAAGTTCGCCTCCTGTCAGTTCTGAGATACACTTGTGCAACAAAAAGCGTTAATGACTTCAATCTTATTCCTCTAACATCAAAACACATCATAGCTACAATTCCATCAAATAAACTTTATATATATCAAGAAAACAAAATTATATTTTATTTATTATAAATGCTTATAACAAATTAATTAACAAATGCAATGAATTAATTCATTTCCATAGTATTTGCCCAGAAAACAAAAGCCTAATTAATTTCATTTAATATTGTGTGTATATTCATTAAATTTGTATATTTATCTATTTTTTATTTTTTTGTTTTTGTAATATCTACGCTGCTTTTTTAATTTATTAATTGGATGCATTTAAAATAAATTAAATATTAACAAAATTGTCAAAATGGTTTCAATAGAAAATTCTTGTCGGCACAAATTCGCATTTAAATAATAAATTTTTTTTTTGTTTTTTGGTCGTCTAATGAAATGCGTTAACGAATCCAATCCGTAAATGAATCCAATCCGTAAATGAACAAAATTAACAAAATTAAAAGATACAACGCCTTTGCTACTACAAACGCCGATGACTACGGATACTTGTACGATTTTTTTATTTGCATAGGCAATCAAATCAAAATCATAGGCCTTGACCTGTTAAATGAATTATGAATGAATTATTTGTTGACATTTTGTAATTTGGAGATTAATGATTAATTTGCTAA